TGCTTTTCGGTTCATATCAGGCTCATGTTCAGTAGATCCATAGTTCTACGTTGCTGTGGTCGAAAGAGTGCAGGGCGCATCACATAGAGAAACTGACCAGCGCCTCTTGGCTTCGGTTCCTATTTTCACAAGGACGAGGTGCAATGGAACTCTTTTGGAGGTCTTCTCTATGCAAATGTAGGTTGTATGGGCACGCTCTTACAGCAGCTGAAGCAAACTTTCGGAGCGGACCTCGCGCAGTAAAATCGTTGTGCTAGTGAGGATTGTTGTACTTATTTATGTGGACGTCTGCAGGAAGTACGCCGTAGCAAATTACAGACACGTAACACGTCGTACGTCCAACCATAGCCACACGCGGTACTTGTCCGCGCCTTGTCACGTGTGGCTGAGTGACCACTGTTCCTTGCAGCTCGACTTTGACAGTGTTCGCTGTGGAAACTGGATCTACAGCTTCAGCAATGAATTGTTGACAACGTGCGCACAAAGTACACTTTACATCACCGCAATTGTCGGGTCGCAATCAGCGCGCACCTGCGGCGTTTCCATCATTGGTTGCTCCCTCCCTAAATCGATCTTTACCCGATCGCCATTGGTAGAGCAACGAGGCCGAACGCCCATTTGGACCGCGTTGCACAGCCGCCCTCCGACAGTCCTGCAATGATGAGGACTATATACCATGTGCCCTGTTGAACAATTTGGTCGTTGTTGTTCACAAAAAATGAAGAATCAATATTGACTCGGTCTTCAGCCACACCCTATAACTAGGTATCGTTCATACTCATCGATTACACGCACTGCTGACGCGGTTTGAACGCAGCTGCATGTTTGCGCGGGCATGTGATTTATTCGAAGTCTTGTGAGTCGGCCTCAGTAATGTTTCACGCTCAGGTTGTTATCGCGTCTGACAAGTTGTAACCCGAAAGTTCCCGTCAATTTGGTGGTTGGGACATTTGCCAACAAGCACTAGCTTTACATACTTTTGTTCTCAGCCTTATTGTACTGTCCTTCTTTATACCTTGTGGTCGTGAGCTTACAGAAACGTTATACTTTCCTATCCTTCTCTTAGTAGACTGTTGCTCTTTTTAGGTTCAGAGAAAGTCGAAAACCAGCTTTTATGCTCATGTTCCACTTTTTGTTCGACGTTCCGAGAATGAGGGGGATATAGTGCACGACATCTGTGCATCGCGCGCAGAATGCAAGTGTTTACAGCCAGACGCGTTCATATTGGATCCTAGTGTGAACGGCTCCGCCTGTAATGCATTTATGCGGCTCGGATAAGTTTGGACTGCATTATGGATGAGATGATCGGCAGGGATACTAGGCCATATATTTTCTCATGTTCTGTGCCCTCTCAACAAAACAACTGTTTGGTATGTCTGCTTGGCGCTAGCGTATGGGGGGGGGAGGGTGAAACACACAGCCTCGCCATTATAACCCTTTCTGTAATCAGTGCTTAAGTTTGGTGAAGAACATGTCTTTCGTGCGAGACTATCTCTGGTCATCTGCACTCTAAGCGTAAAACTCTTGGAGAAATAAAGATGTTCAGCGGTCCTCCCCCAAACACGTCAGCTCCCCTGTTTGGCTGCGTTCCTTTCCCCGGCACTGCCGCTGGCGTAGCGCTTCCAGCGTACGCCAGCGGCAGTGTCGGGGAAAGGATAGATATCGATCTAGCGTTCCCAGCGTCACCAGCGTACGCCAGCGCACGCTAGCGCACGCTGGCGTAGCGAGGGCACGGGAAGCATAGCTATCGATCTAGCTTCACCAGCGTTTCTCCAGCGTTTTCCAGCGCTTGCAGCGACGGGGCTAGAGAGGGGCTAGAGAGTATTGAATGTAGGAGAGTACAAAATACTCTCCTACGGAGAGTACAAAATACTCTCCTACCTTCAATACTCTCTAGCCCCTCTCTAGCCCGTCGCTGCAAGCGCTGGGAAAACGCTGGTGAAGCTAGATCGATAGCTATGCTTCCCGTGCCCTCGCTACGCCAGCGTGCGCTAGCGTGCCGCTAGCGTACGCTGGTGACGCTGGGAACGCTAGATCGATATCTATCCTTTCCCCGACACTGCCGCTAGCTTTACATCCTCGGAATCGGGAGGCATCATCCACTTTGTGGCGACGCTCGCTCATGATCTAATAAGTCTTCCCCAGCTAGTTGACTCAGTTTGGAAGGTCGCCAGCACCTGCTAGTGAAGAGCACAATGTTCTTTCGTGCTAGACCTGTGGGCCATGCACGCCTTGTCGTACCACTTGCCTTGAGTGTGAATGTGCTGTGCTGTGTGGACTTCCCCGTTCTAACGTTTAGATAACAACATTGAACTATTGGCGCTGTTTACTCCTTACTGCCCCAATCATCCGGAATCGAGCCAGTTTCTGACCTTCGTAGGCAGACTTGGCTCAAATGTTGTCTCCTGGGTTAGTTTAACTCTTAAATACGAATCATATCCGCCTAGCCCAGAACTTCCTGGCGCCCGCCCCACAGGCGCAGCCGATTCAAGGTATTTTTCCGCCGGCGCCTGTGGCGCGGGCGCCAGGAGGTTCGGGCCGAGCGGATGTGATATTCGTGTTCAGGAGGTCAGACTACCCCTGGGAACAAGTTTTCAGCGAATTTGGTGATTTAGGGTATTTTGGCGCCGGCGCCTGTGGCGCGGCGCCAGGTGGTTTCGTGCCGAGCGAATGAAAATTTCATTTCCAGGAAGCCGGCAATTTTTTTGCTGCCCCGGAGAAAGTATAGGTCAAAAACAGGTCTGATTTCAGATTATGGGGACAGTAAAGGATGAATAGTGCCCTATTAATCGAATGACTCTCCGAAATAGAAGGAATTTAAAGACCTAGAATGGTCCAAAAGCAAAATGGATTTTCAGTCGGCCACGACATTCGCAACCCAATGGCCTTGGAAGGAGCAGAAGATTTCCATGTATACGGGGACAATGAGTCCGTCACTACCGGTTCCATTGTGACAGTAAGTGCGTCCTGTTGAATAACTTTTGTTAGAGCTGCACTAACTTGTAGCGAAGCCAAAGTTTGCTACTAATATACAGTGAGTATGACGTTGACAACAGCTTCAGCTTTGATCTTGTTCACCTAGTTGTGAGTACACCTTCTCAACCTTAAAAGGGTTTTTTTGATGGCGCTGTTTGCTCTCGTGTATCATTTTGACCATATCGTCGTTGGCAGAGCCTCAAAATGGGTTGAAGAGCTCATACTTGCAATCAATCGACTGGGACCGTTATCGATTTGGGCCAGTTGTAACAGCTCTTTGATCTTACAAAGTTATAACTTCTCAACTTCTAACTTCTAGCTTACCTTACGCTTCCAATGCGAATCAGTAAGCCAGATAAACTACAACGGCCCCGCCAGCGCTGTCATCTACATACTTGATGACTTGAAAATCAGATCAGTGGCAAAAACGACGTACCGAGTGCTATCAGCAGGTCCCCACTCCTGCTAGCTGTGCGATTTGCATTGAAGGCACGGTCAGCGATCAGGTGTAGAAGTAGAAGTGGCGTTGGGAGGGTAATGTGGTCTGCGACAAACAATGCTGTACCGGTTTCGCGGCAAAAAATTGTAAGGGAGGGGCGCTATAGCGCAATATAGGTTCAGTGACGCCTCCTTTTTTCCAGTGACTCCGCCTCCAGACTCCGCCTCAAGGCCCGCCTTTCAGTGAAAAACGAAGCTGCAGGACGAAAAAGCATGAAAATCGTCACTTGTACGGTCGTAGAGTTCTCATCGGGGCATCAGCTGTGCGGCTGAGGGGGTACTTCGGGAGATGGAGTTAACTGGGCACGTACAAACTGGGATCAAAATGGGGTTCTATCTAGGGCAGTTGGCATTTTTTTCTGCTTTTTTTTCTTCACTATCGAGTTACTCAGAACCTTGTCGTCTATATGCAAACCCCTAATCCACTATCTGTGATGGCGAATGATCGCGGGTTTTGCCTTTAACAGCAATTTCACACTCATCTTTCAGTGGGTCCCTGCTATGTGAGAGAAGAACGGGTTGGCAGCTACACGCCTTCGCAATTTGAGAAGAAAGGCTCGTGGAAATAAGGCTGAATGGCTGTGATACTCGGGTGCTGTTTGGGACACCGCCCGCGCTATCCTGAAGGAGCAGCACTTATCCTTTACCACTATCCCGCTGTGAACCGACGGTCAGTGGTAGAGAATTACTAGACACGAAAGGCCCAGGTAAATAGCGCGTTTAGTTGGCGTGTGGCCGGCCGTGCGTCAGCATGAGTGGAGTCCACAAACGTCACACGGGTATTGGTACCTTCTAGACCTGCGGAAAAAACGGCACGATGCTGCAGCTACGGACCGATTCACCTTGCTCATGGCCAGGACCCCCAGAGATGTATCCTAGTTTATCTGAGGCGTATGTTGAGCGTTCTACTCAACTTACCAGTATGGACTTTTCATTGGTTGCTAGTATACTACTCTGCGCACCTTTAAAATCTTGGCTTACTAAGATGCGTCGGCTGACAACGCCAAGAAGATTGCAAACAGCACTTTAAACCTTTTCGAATCGTTGATCACATTGACGGCTATGATGCGATCAGCTTTTGAAACTACAGGGTGTTGTTGCCCGTGTACTACACTACAAAATCGCAAGTCTACAAAAAAACCGTGGGCAAGGACGTGAATACGGCGGATTGGAACCTCTAATTCATGGAGACTTGCATTCCGCTTCTTTACGTACGAAAAGCTATTGTGAAGTTACGATCACCACGACGACTTGTTTGTGCCGAGAAAATACGATTGACGGACGACACCCTCGTAGTGTGACAATAGTTACCTATCGATATAAACTGGTAATGGATACCAGGAAAGGAATTGAAGGCACAGTTTGCGATTTCCTGTAGAAGACGTCGTGAATGGCAAGGTTGAAAAATAAAACTGCTAGTGGAAGTAAACTCATCCGTGAGAAAGAAAGTTAATGAAACCGTTAATAACGCTCTAGGAGGCTTCACCTGTCCTAGACGAGAGACGAAATTTCGTCGGGATTTTTTGATGAAAGACAAGACAACACCATGCAAGCAAGCGAAACTGCAAGTGTAAACGTGGGGCGGCGCAACTACTGCTGCCATTTGAGCATGTAAGTACTGCTGCCATTCGAGCAATCTTGCGCGCCTACCCTTGATCCTAACGCGAGACTGATAAAGTTTTCTCTCTTGCGTTTCACATTACCTTTACCAAACAGTGTTTAGATTCTCACGAATGAGCGCCATGTACCTTCGCAGGGTACAGCATCGTTGTGTGAAACACTTAGGGGGTCGTGGGGAGGGGGGTCGTATTTGGTCGTCGTTGGGAAGGGGTGAGGTCGTATGTGCCATTGAGAGTGATTTGCCTGGTGCGTTGAGAAGAAGTTTTTCCCGGTTGTTGACTTTTCATTACTTTTCGTGATTTTTTCCTATCTTATGAGTACTATATACTCCCCCGTCCCTTCCCTTCCGTTCGATGGAAAATCTCTAGGGTGGAAAACGGGAAAATGTGGGAAATTGGTAGGTGAGTGTTGGGGAAGGGGCAGGGGTCGTACCGAGACCGTCATTTAGGTGGGTGGTCTTACTCCTCTCGAGAGGAGGGGGTCGTACCTACACCACCGTTCCAACATCATGATACTGTACCCTGACCTTCAAAGGCAGTGGGCACGATGGCTGCGGGCAGGCGGTTACTGCCAACGTCATTGGTGGAAGGGCTACGAGAGGTGCATTCGACCACCCTCCACTCCGACCCACACCAATGACGTTGGCATTAAACGCCCGCGCCAGCATCGTACCCACTGCCTTTGAGATAACCTTTTGAAAGCCATAGATAGGCGTCAATGATCCTGATGTGATTGATAAATCATGCTTATAGTGGTGATCCATACAAACGATAGGGCGTGCGACGCGGCATGGTTGGGAGCGCACCAGAGCGGCCTTGTCACAACATTGATGCCATGCTGAGTTCGCTACAATTGGTGAGAAATCTACCGTGGCTGCTCTCGCTGCTGTGCTGCTGTCCCACCCTCATCATTTTCAAGGATTGCGATTGTATTTCGTTGCCCGAAGAAGGTTTTTTCAGAATAATGCGTCACCATCCATAATTTGGGAAGACTACGGTGAAGAACTGAGTGATGAAGCTTTTCCCGCAGTACTTCGCAACTCCAACGAATCGCCACTGCTGGCTGGCAAAGTACGTCAGAGAACAGGAAATGGTTTGTGTAGCCCAATGAATAATGATTTTCAGCACTCCAACGATGGAAACGATAGTGAATTGGATAGAGAATTCGTGGTTTCCTCTAGGGAATCAACTCTGCATACACGAACAGAAATCGCCGATAGTCAGCCGATAAAGGAGGTATTTTTAGCGATCTTTGTTGGAAGTAATTTGACAATTCTCTGCAACACGTGATGACTTTGCAGTCCATACGTATTCACCTGGTCGTCGAAAAGGAAGGGTGTCCGCCAGCTTGGCCGTCCCGCAGCTTCAGGCCTTGTTGACACTCCCCCTTTTACCGCCGGATACGAACCGCTCATGAAACTGCCGCATTGGCCATAGGCTACCCATGACATGTGTAGAGGGGATTTCTAGCACGTCATGGGAGCATTCTGCTTACTAAGTGCCAAAAGCTTTTGCTTCATTTTCAGCCTCACGTGGAGGTCGCTGATGACAAATACGAGCCAGAAGAGGTGAAGGTCGCTACTAAATTCGGAACAAGGAAAGGAACTAGGAAGAGACGACAAAAGAAAAAGAAAACAACATCCAAAAAGGTATCATACTGCAGCAGTCGATCAACTGGTTAGCGTGATCAGTAACAGCACTTCTTTGAACTTGCAGCGCAGCTGGTTAGCCCTCCCCCTACGCAGATATTCAATCATGACAGAGTTTGTAAAGTGAGCAACAAAACACTTCCGATGATAGACTCGGACTTCATACCGACATAAACCCTAATTAATCCTTAGCTACTGGCCCGAGTCAGAAAAACAGAGCTTATCCAAAAAGCTGAGAGTGACTTCCATATACAGGGGGGGGGGGCAAAAAAAGTCACTTCGACCGAGTCACATATCAGCAAAGTTTTCGCAGCCCAGACAGAGGACGTGGATACGAGTACCAGGGCGGAAGATACCCAAGATGTTCCTCGATAAGCAGGAGCTGGCTCTCGCCCATCAGCTTCATGTAAAGCAGGAGCTGGCTCTCGCCCATCAGCTTCATGTACACCAAAATATGAAGTAATCTCCAGTCGCAGCCTGACTGGGAGAAGACCTTTGGAATTGGAAGAGACCAACATCGAGCTCCGACAACATCGCTGCGGTCTAGGACATAATCTTCACCGCAGTCGCCAAGGCGCGGGTGATATCATAGACTTGGCGTACCTGGAATGCAGAGACCGATATTTTCTTCGTGAACCCCAAACTGAAGGCGAGCCGCTGGGATTACACAGCCAGAACTCAGGAGAATATTCTCATACATGTCGTCACCGAACCTTCTTGAACTTTGTACTGGCAAACCGAATTTGGCGACACCACGTGGATTCGAAGGCGTTGGATAAACGCTCGCCCTTTTGGAATGGAAGGACGTTGAGTGCCTGAAGAACATGAAATATCCGAGTAGGTCACCTGACCTAAACCCTCTCAACCAACCGGTTTGGGCGGAGCTCAACAGGGTCATCTACAGTGGCGGAAAAATCAACTATCTCGCTGAACTCAGGTACCCACTCAAGGTCGCATGACAGAATCTCTCGATGGTGCTTCTCCAGAAGGCTGTGGCGTTGTATAGTGATAGTATTTAATATACTCTTTAATAATGTCGTAGAAAAGTCCGATCAGAATTCGATAAAGTGTATCTTATGACGTCTCGAAAGTCGAGAAAGAAAAGTGACTATTTTCGCCCCCCCCCCCCTGTATGCTGCGAGAGTGACACCAACAGACCTTTAGGATTACCAAATTTTTACTGCATCCCTTTCCACTATGTATAGGTTGGAAAGAAAGTCCTGTCACTGTTGTGATTTTTTTTTTTTATTTTCTAACTCAACATGAAATAAAAACTAATCAATAATATAATCGCCATTGTTAGCCACTACAGTGCTCCACCTAATGGGCAACTCAGCTATCCCCTTCTCCCAGAACTGAGGAGGCTGCGAGTCGAAGAAGTAGGCAACTTCTCGATTGATGCCATCAAATTCGCTGAAGGTTTTCTTACCTAGGAAAGCCTTGAGGGAGCGGAACAAGTAGTAGTCGGAGGGGGCTAGGTCTGGAGAATATGGTGGATGGGGAACGGTCTCCCAGCCTAGCTCCTCAATTTGTGGGTCTCTTTAGCCACATGTGGTCTGGCGTTATCATGGAGGAGGTGCACCGAAGCTCGTCTCGGCCGCTTTTCTCGAAGAGCTTGCGCGAGTTTCTGGAGTTGGGCGGCGTAAACGGTAGCGGTAACCGTATGCCCTTGCGGAAGCAGCTCGTGGTGCAGCATGCCCTTCGAATCCCAGAAGCAGCAGAGGAGGACCTTCTTGGAGTGCAGGTTCGATCTGGGTTGCGTAGGCGGGTCTTCTCCTCGAGGGAGCCACATGGCACGACGTAGGTTGGAATCATAGAGGACCCAGCTTTCATCTCCAGTCACAATATCTTCCAGAAACTCCTTCCGGTTACGGTGTAGAAGGAGGGATCGACAGATGCTCACCCTGGCATACCGCGTGCCATCTGTTAGAGCATGAGGTATCCATCGCGTGAGGACTTTTCTGTAGCCAAGGGCCTGAAGGCGGCTTAGAGCTGTTGTATGGCTACACCCTAGCCTTGTCGCAATACTGCGCCTCTGGATCCTCTCTGACAGGTTCGAGAACGGCGGAATCTTCTACGCCGCGAGGGCGTCCCAGACGAGGTTTGTCTTCGAAGATCGTCTCTCCTTTCGCGAAGCGAGCGAACCAACGGTGGACAGTCCTGACGGTGGTGGTGTCCTCCCCCAATGCACAGTTGATGTTACGGGCCGCTGCCGTCGCTCCAGTGCCGCGGCGCCACTCATAGAAGATGATCACTCGAAGCTGCTCCAGTGAAACTGACATCATAAATAAACACAGGGAAGAGCAGGAGCCTTGATATACCTCTTGTGGAAAAGCTTCGAGAATGTTCTACAACCTTAGCATGTTACGTCATGTTCGAGCTTCGAAGATCAAAAACTGTAGGCTATCTAAAAAACACTGACAGGACTTTCTTTCCAACCTATATAATCAACTACGGCGGTCTATGCGTGGCTTTTTTCTGTCTCAAGATTTGTCATAAAATCAGGATTCGGTTCATCGACCAAGACCATGGAACGGGCATGTGCTATATTCCAAACTCGTGAGACGTGGAAGGCGTGGCCGCGTGCATTCTTTTTCGGCAGTAGCGTAGACCGCGTTCCAGGTGATATATCTCCATTTTGCAGCCATATCTTCCTCCAACACAGGACAGGAAGACAGTTGTCTCAAACTGGAGTATCCCAGAAATAGCCCATCCGGCGCCATGTTCAAGCGAGTACGCAGCTACGCCTACCGCGTTACAGTGATGTGGAGCGTAAGCTGGGTCGGGTCTGCGCGTGGGTGGAGTGACGTCGTAGATGAAACTAATAATTTACTCTCAGAAGTACAGAGACTGAGAGAAAGTGGGGGAAAGCGAGGAGCGAGTTGATAGTTGAGAAGGTGTCCGAAGCGTGCCGGTACTCTGAACAGGAGGGGCTGGCTAATTTAGCTCTGGGACTTCTTAAACGAACGTTCCGCAGATGCAGTTCGTGTGCACTGGGATCTCATTGTAGACTCGTAGATTTTCATCATTTCAGCTGTGAATGAAATAGAGAAAACTCTCGAAGGTGCCATAAATAAGGCTCAGAGCTTATTTTATTTTATTTTATTTTATTTTATTTTATTTGGGCGTATATGCAAATAACAAGCGAAGGAGTGCGGCGGTATCTTGTAGTTATGCAATATTAGGTCATCCTATGCAAAAATGTGGGGACAAATAGAGGAATAGATAGAGGAATAGCAGGAACGCAAAGAGGGTCATGACTGTAGGCTCCTATATCATGTGAAAGCTACTACCTTTGGCTACCTATACGTGAAATTTGGCTAGCCTAGTCGCGGAAGAAAATCGAGAGTAATTGAAAGAAGCTTGAATGGTCAAAATCAGCGCCGGATTTCTGAATCAGGCGTCATAAGAGGAAGCTGTGCTGCTGAAGTTCGACCTCTGCCGGGTCGGTAGTTGCGTGTAATGGTCTTCTCGAATTGCAAGGTGGAAGATTCGGATAGGAGCCCAAAGTAGGTAAGAAAAGAAGAACTTTGTTGTCCGGATGGTCCCATAATGTTCATCCTGCACAAGAAAAAAGGGTGGATGAAGTCAGGCGTTGAATGTATCACAGAGGCTGGATCCCTTCGAGCCTACCCGTGAAATCGACATTCCTGCTGCAACTGCTGCCCGAGTTCTGTACGATAAAGTGAGGTCTAGAGGGTGGGCATGTGGGTACCTAACTTAGAAGCACGAATGCAGTACCGATTCTATGCCTGTAGCAGTAATGTTCTCCACATAAGATGTCACTCACGACTGTGAAAACGCACCCGGCCCTAGATGAAATATGGGTGGTCTTGGACCTCGAGTCGAAACTCACAATCGTCAATTTTGTATGAATGCAGATGAGAAGCCGCCCAAATTCTGTCTTGAGGAGTTACGTGGGTCCAAGCCATATTCGTTATTGTAATCCTGCTACAGAGAACAAAACCATCACTGTCGAGACATATTGCCTGTTCCTCGGCAATCAGATCGACAAATGGATGGTACCACACAACTACAAGAAGGCCACCGTTGCTCGTCATAGTGCCAGATCCCGAGTGCCCGGGCAGTGCTCGCACACAAGCAATAGTGAGATTTGACTCCAATCGCCTTATTCGCGCAACCTACAGCCGTCGATTTCCACTGTTCTGATCAGTTGAAGTTACTGTCCGACGGCAAACGCTACAAGCGTTTTGTCATTCCGCCGAAATTGGTAGCACTTTACTCGCACTTGTTAAAAAAACGAAGGTACCAGCGGTCCAAACGCTTTCAGGGCACTGAGGGTCATCGGTGAAGGAGGGACCTATTAGGTTCAGAAAAATTCTGTCACATTTTATAAATCAGGCTTTTTTATGGAGAGGCGTGTAAGATCAAAATTGTACAGCAATGTTACTGCGGGGTTCTTGCCAGTTTTTGAGCACCTCATGGATGCCATCGCTTCACAATGCAGGGAGGCGCGACGCAAAGTTGGACACCATCTCAATCTTGACTTGAACTCGGGTTATGGAGGTTTTCTCGTCCACATAACGATTGAGTACGGGAGGCAACTCGCAGTTAGAAGGAGCAATGTCTGTGCTACACCAGTGCAAGGGGAGAGCCATCCAGCTCTATTGCATGAGGTACGGCTCAAACTTTTTTGGACGGAGTGCGCTGCACTATCATGATGGCCTGTGCGGACGAATTTTTCCCTCCGATCGACGGTACGCCTCAGATCTCGGAGCTGCTTTGCGGAAAAAGCTTCTTCATCCAGCACCTTCACGGCCCGCAGCTGCCTCAATCTGGTTCACAGGTAACCCAAACCTCACTTCGTCATCAAACTGTAGGCTCCCGCTTTGAGGCATTGGCATTAGCGTCGTGGAAGGTTGTCCGATAATTGAGGGCATCGTCCTTATTCAGCTCCATTATTTTGGCATCTGCAGCTATCATGCTGGCGTCAGGGTGGTGGAAGAAAGAGTTTGAGGAAGCGTCTGGAGGGGTCGGTGCCGATGGTAGCGGATAAAATCCTTGTCCATATTGCAGAAGAAGAAGCAGGAGTCAAGCGAGTGGTACTAATAGAAAGACCACTCCTTGATGTATAAGTGCTCACATTACCGGTTACCCCTCTTCAGGTAATGGGCAAGTATTTTGAGTTCGAAAAAGTGTGACAGAACTTTCCCGCCAATAATACTTGACTTGAAGCCAAATTATTATTTTTTATATGTTTTCATCTTCGTTTCAGACACTCTAATTCGGTTGGGCATGTCAGGCAGTGTGAGCGTGTAACCCCGTTAAAGCCGTTCCCTGCCTTCTTGTTGAGCGCATGCGACAAAAAGTGGTGAAAAACGAGTAATACGAACGACATGATACAGTCATATCATTTGCTCGCTTCAGCAGCTAATGGAGAACGGGTTTGGCACCGCGCCAAACTCATTCCGTCTGACACGCCCAACCGTCCGCAACACTATATGAATAATACCTTCCACCCTTTTGAATGGGATCACCTAGTAGTTATGTGTCGACTTGTCCTGATCTTATGACAAGCAATTCAGATTCTTTCTCAGAAGTTTGTAAAACTATGCTGTAACTTGCAGTGTACTGAATACTTAGAGCTATTGTTGATTACACTAAAATAATTTCAAACTTCCTCTTCGACCGATCGTCCGCCGAGGAAGCGAAGAGCTGCGACTGATGCATACACTAGTCGTACCAACATTAGTGCGGTGAGTTTCATTTTAGACGAAAGCTGACTCATCCAATTGATAAAGTAACATTGTCATTGAAATTCAAAAACAGAGGACTTTTCTTCAGCTGCCCAGGCGGTCATCAAATCGTCTCAGACAGAAACAGACTGAACACCTGGACTACTCTCGGCTACCTCCAAAATACTATGGACCTCCTCCCCCGTCTATGAGATTTTGCGATTATGTTCTTAACGTGTTGCTGAGCTCAAAATATGAGGTGAATTTTTCACGATGAAGATGTGAATGCTGGCAGTGGTTATAGCAAGAAGCATTGAGCACAAACAGTCAGCAACACTTCGAGGGCACTAGGGAATGGGGGAGGGACAAAAGGACTTCATGTGCTTTAGGGTGTAAAAATATCCACGAGACACAGCCCCCAGTTCATAGCGAGTGCACTTTGCACATTTACATCGGAATCTGATCCCAGACATTGGGTCTTCAGAATCTGCCAACCTGACGTTCTGGGGTCTCAACGTTTGATATTTAACGTGACTTGTATAGTCAAACCATGAGAATCAAAATGTAAGCTAAGCGACGTTGTCCGCGCAGCCGGGTAGCTGTTTGCTTTCGGTATTTTCCATAGCCAAGGCGACAGTCCCTGAATATCTACAAAACAGTGAATCAATCGTGGGAACCACCTACCTGTAGGTCCACGCCGATACCGTACACCCTCATAAAATCGTTTGTGGGACGTTACTTATCAGTCGCGGCGAAATAGGCGTTGCAAGCTGGGTGATGTAGCGGTGCTGCGCCTCGACTCTATCTTCCTAGTAGGCTCGTATCGCGCCGTCGTGACTGAGAAGTAGGATAGCGTTCACACTTCGCGACAGCAGCGGCAATCGCGGCGATCGCGGCGACCTCGGCGATCGCCGCGATCGTCGGTACGTGGCAGAGCGCGCCCCAACGCTATTATGGACTGCTCGCTTGATAAGGAAATCCAACTTGTGAGACCTTCTTTTCTAATAATAATGGCTACTAACTGATAACTTACGACTTTCTATACATAAGCGGATCTGGAATATAAGGTAAGGAGGTTATAAGGCCAACTCCATTTCCTGGGTGAGCTTCTTTTTGTTTGTTTTTATTGTTTCAATTTATGCAAGCGCCTCAAAAGTTCCTATCGTCTGAACTGTTCCAACTTCCAAAACATTTATAGTTTACAAGTCGAGTTCAAACAACGAAGAAAAAAAAGAAACAGAAAGAAACTCACCTAGGAACCAAAACACTAATCATTTTACGCAACATCAACAGGTGAAAACTTTATAACCTCATGTATAAGCTCGACGAATGAAAAAAGAAACAATAAAAACCTACCCTAAATGAAGCTCTCACGCTTTTTGCTCATTTCTATCCTGAATCAAGAAAGAAAATAGAAAACAAAAGCCATTAAGTTGGGTTCACCTTTCTTTGTGTCAAACCAAGCTTCAGTATCTAAGAAAATTGCAGTTAAAGGAAAAAAAAGCATGAAATTGAGTCGCTTCTTCCCAAAAGCCTTCGGAGCGCAAGTAATAGCGTTGGGGCGCGCTCTGCCATGTACCGACGATCGCGGCGATCGCCGAGGTCGCCGCGATCGCCGCGATCGCCGCTGCTGTCGCGAAGTATGAACGCCATCTCAGGCTCCACATCAGATGAAATGGATGAAATGGGTGGCGTTAATGTCATCTCCTTTTCGTGATGCTATAGGCACTCGAGGAGGGTTTCCTCGTTCTCGTAGGGGAACGTCTCAAGGCCATTCCCCTCACCCAAACTTAGAGATTCTGGAATGAGATCTAAACTTTGATGATACGGGCGAATGTCTCCTATTTCACTCCTCCTTTACCGGAAAAGGGTCGATCTTTTTGTGATAATTTTTTTGATGTGATTGCTTTTTGATTGCTTATGGGAGCGTTCCATATTGTGGTATCTCGTTCTTTGCTGTGTTCATGATTTTCATGATATTCGACTTCGTCAAAGACTCGGTCCACTGCTGAAGTGGCGTTCAGACATCGCGGTGACCCTCGTTGATGCGCGTTACAGCGCATTACAGCGCGTTAACGCGCGTCATCGCGGAGCTCGAACACTACATATTGTAGGACACTGGCAATGTAACTGTATTCTTTTATTACTAATTGTTTTCAGCCAATCAACTGGCTCATCGAACTGCCAACAGTGAAGAAGAAGCTGAACCATAGGCAATATGCAAATGCAGAGGAATTCGCCACTGAAATCAGAATGGTCAGCTTTGCTCGCAGAGCATATCCATTCCCCACCCTATTCCTCCGGATAAAAACTGTAGCTTGTCTGGTGTGAAACAGTATTTTTCCGTAGCTTATTCAACATCAGTGTAATTTTTATTACTTTGCTAACACGAAAACGGAAAGAAACACCCTGAATAGTGAGATAGCTGATTGGTTTGTTTTAATCTTACTACTCATTTTTCAGCTTTGTATGAATCCAATCGACGCTGCTCTTACAGATGAGTGTCTCTCTCTACTGCAAGCCTTCGACCAACTAGTTTGTACTAATAACTGTATATGTTTTGATTACATGGCACTATTTACCCTTACTGCCCCAGTTCTCGAAGATTAGGTTAGAACTAAGATTTGCTCGGAAATTGGTCTTTAGGGTAGTTCGAATTCCTGAACAATGTGACATCCTCTCACCCTGAAACCACCTGGCGGCCGCGCCATAGGCCCGATGCGAAAATACCCCAAATCACAAGACTCGCTGAAAACTTGTCTTTGGAGTAGTTTGACCCCTTAAAGACACATGGTACGCTCAAACACATTGAGGGTGTATGAGACTATCAGCCCCCCAGCTGTCGATGTGTCGTGGTCCCCCGCCCAAAACTGCACGGGGTCAGAGTACGGGGCCGTGGGAAAGTCGTAATTCCTTGCTACGCCGCCCGTTTTTGCAAACTCACGTTTTTACTAACACCGTCCGCGCGGCGCGGTCGCGTGCAGCTCTCTTGGCTTTTTGCCAAGTCCTGTAATTGCGCTTTGGAATACAAGTACAACGCAATTTCTTTATGCGGATAACAATGCTGCAAAATAAGAACCGAAGATGATGACGAGGGCTAGAACTCAAGAGCAACTGTGCTGCTTCTGCAACAGCCCTCGCAGGCCGCGCATTCCCACAAAACATCAAAATAAAAACGGCCTAAGCGTCCCACTCGTTAGTTTGAAGTATTTCTATAGCATAGAGCCGGATTAGAGCCGGATCGCAGAAATGCACACGCGATTTTAATTTATTGCGTTTCCTTAGTTTTTTCAATTTTGTTTTATTTACATCTACATTCGTTGTTGTTCATTTCTAGCCTTTGTCATCTTCATCACCTTCTATTCGGACTTGATGAGCAATACCTCAAATGTTAGGAAATCGTTTTGCTTGTATTGTCATGTTTATTGTCATGTTCTGTGGGAATGCGCGGCCTCTGAGGGATATTGCAGAAGCACTACAGAGCAGAGGCTGGCCCCGCTATAACCTAGAACCCTCTCCCTTTACCCAGTCCTGAACCTTCTTGGCACCCCATGATGGTGTGGAACTCGCGTGTAGCAGGTTAACCTACCTGAGGGGAGCAATTTTCAGCCAAATCTGCCCACGAAGAAAAAAGCGGTTAGAAAACTGGAATGATTTTGGTTGACTGGGGCGGGTGGGGTGTCATTTAGAATTTCATAGTTTGTAATTCAGAGCGAATGTTTGAAAGGTCTTTCAAAGACGGTTGACGTTGTGTATTTTCTAGTGGTTGTATTTGCCTCCTGATCCAGAGAAGCCGCCTCCACCGCCCCCGCGAGATCCTCAAGCGAACCACGACGATGAAAATCTACGGAAATCACTCCTAGCGGCAAGATGTTTATGATAATTGAAGCTCGCATTTCCATTTTCAGGAAATCTCTTCAGAAAGCGAAAGAAATGAGTGAAACAGAGTGCCTGCTCGTAGAAGTCGAAGCCAAAGAAACGCTTCTTAAAAATGTCAAGAAAAAGCGAGAAGCCGCCAAGAAAGCTGGCGTGGAAGTTCCTGCAGTTCCGCAATCCCTTTTGGATTCTGCACATGCCACATTAGTGAAGTGCGGAGTTATGGCTAATTTTAACCAGAAACCTTTGGAAGCGCCTTCTCCGGTGTGTCGCTTGGTATTTTTTGAAACAATGATCATATGGATGATATCGCTACAATCAGTGGGGGCGTATCAGGGGGTATGGAATGAGCCCATCAGCGGTTTCACCAATGGTTGTATTCTGAGAGAGTCGATTACTGACCGAACCCTTTTGAAAATAAAAAAGAAAAGGAAAAAAGTAGAAAAGGAAGCGGGAGACGGGCTCATTCCGCCCTTCTCAACGCGGCCCCACATCAGTGGTTGATATTGCAACGATATAACCTCGTCATCCGGGCAGTTGATTAGGGCGGTCGTCAACGGGCCGCAGCGCGTGCCAGGAACTATTTGCTTTTTCCAGGCTAATTTAGTCATTTTTTCCACCTTGTGAAGATAAGGAGCTGCTAATCTGGGAAAAAGTAGCCAAAACAGTGAAAAGTTGGAAAAAATGACTAAATTAGCCTGGAAAAAGCAAATAGTTCCTGGCACGCGCTGCGGCCCGTTGACGACCGCCCTAATCAACTGCCCGGATGACGAGGGTACATAGACTATATTTCCAACACGTTGCCTTCGTAACTGAAAACTCACTTCAGGATTTCAATCAAGCGGATGAACCAACGGATGCTCACGAGAGTAGCAGCTTCACAGAATCACTCGAAAATCGCGGGTCGTTGAACATTGCGGACCGTCGTGATG